TGATATTTTTTAGTACGTGTTACCAACGGCTAGATTCAAACCAAATCAGCCATGCTAGTAACCACCACGAGAAAAGCTTTCAACTTCGGAGGTTGTCTCCTTACGGACCTTACCCATGACTAAATTCAAGGGAAGTATGACTTCTTGTTTTGATCAAAGAAATCAAATTGTCTTCCGCTAGAAAAAAATCCATGATGTATGTCGAAAGAATCAAACACGCTAAATTCGCTAGACGGTGGCCCTAACTTTTTTTTTTAACATGTTATATTGTATAAAAAATTATCTCCAATTTGTAATCTTCAAGTTATGAAAAATTGTAGGAATTTCTTTATATTGAAATTAAAGACTAGATTTTGATCCGTGGTAAACACATAATTTTAAAACGCAAGATTAAAATATCATGAAAAATGTTTTAATATAGCAATTTTTTAAAAATAGTTTCTTAATTCGTTAACAATAAAAAGAAAGGTTTCCAGTTTCTCGAATACATAACCCCCTTTGTTTAGCTACTTTTGTTTCATTGAAAATTTGATTTCTTTTTCCAATTTTCTATGTAACATTTAAAATTATTTTTACTTAATATTTCTAGAATTACTCAAAATTAAGTATGTACGAATTATCTGTTTTATTTCTCAACCAAATAACTCACACAGAAGTCACATTCTCTAAGAATTCAACATCGGCTAGTAGATTCACTAGTACATCAGACCATAAGGTTGCCTGAACATCAATACTTCCTTCATCGATTCCCGGAAAAAGCACGAGCTTGCCACTGATACTATTGCCCGGTCCAGCTCGCACCGCAATCGGTTTTCCCCAACCGAAATCATTGTTGTACACTTCGAACCGGGGAGAGCTTGAGACAATTATTGTATCACCAGCCATTTTACTCTTAACCCCTGATTTTAGATTCTTCACATTTCTAACCCAATCCTCTGCAAAACCTTTACAGTTTTCATTCGTTTGCGAGCTCACTAATTTACTTATTTGCATAGCAGTCCATCCCAAGCCACGATCCAGCAGCTCTTCCACGGTAGCTATAGCTGGTGAAAGATATGTCATATTCCCAAAACACTCTTTCTCGAGCGGAGGGTTTAGCCTCTGCCTCAAGTCAACCGCTACTTTGCAAAACGTCTCTACTTCTCGGCTCAGACCACTGTGCCTGATGATTGACCTCCACATATGCGCGGAAACCGCTTGAAGTGATGAGATTTTCAGGTCATTAGAGCTGACCTCGTTGTTGGCTTTAGCTTTGAGATCTGAAATATTCTTCTTTGTGAAGTGAAAAACCTTATCTTTCGTGATAGGCACTGAAGAAAGTTCACTACTTGGTGATGGTGGCTTCTCCGTCTCGGAAACCGGAATATGGATCGGGTAATCGATCCCGTCAAGGAACCATCTTTTGAGAACTAATGGCTTATGATCAGAACCTGAACCACTCGAGCAAATCTTGGACCAAGTGTGGAGGAAACTCCACATCGAAGTACCATCTGCCACTAAGTGGTTGTAACAAAAACTTATGAAGACTCCGTCTTTCATATCGGTGACTTGTAAAGCAAGCAAGGGCGCCGAGACGTCGCAGCTCTTGAAATTGTCAGCGGGAAAGAAGTGCCTTATGAAATCAGGAACAGAACCTTGAGGTTGAAGAAGATCACTCACGGAGACGGATTTAGCTTCGGCGTGGTGAAATCTAGCGCCCGGGCCATCGCAGTCTATGTAAAACGACACCGTATTGTCTTCTTGATTCTCCACTTTCGCGAGATGACCCGCGAAAGGGAAGTAGATCTCCAAGGCAACTGAGAGAGAGGCTTTTAAACGAGAGATGAAGTGGAAATCGGAATCCGGTTTGGGAAAGAGAAGACCTCTTTGAGGATAATCGAATTGAAGAAGGCTGAGATCAAATGGAGTTAGATGAATCTTTGTTCGACCCGATTGACTGTTGTTTATTGGTCGAACAATGCTTGACGAGATTAATACAACTCCTGCCATTTTTTCGTCTCTAGTGTGAAGTTGTGAAGGAAAAGTAAAAATCGGCCACTCTTTAAATAGTACTCACATACCAAAAAGCAGAAAGCAATTCCTATCCAAAGTACGTAAAGGACTTCAACTATTGGTTTTTTAATCATTGTACTTTTTTGTTAATAAAAATCTTGTAAATCTACCACTTCTCAAAAGAGGCACGAGAAAATTATTACTACTTTTTTTTTTATTTAAGCGGTAGTAGTAAAAAAAAAAACGGTAAATGATTAGTATATAAATTTTGAAGAATGAAGAAAAATTTGATGTTTTGTCATTATTTTGTTGCTCATGATTCAAAACATGTCAAACCACCGATCCTTGTTACAATTAAAACAAAAATAATCCCCTTCGACAACACATAGACCAATTAATTATGCAAACAAGGTTCAATGACTTATCTTCTCCGAATAGGCAAATCACTAAGTCACAATCTGACAATTTTGAATTGTCACGGAACACAATATCAAGTTCCTCGAACAAAAAGGGACAAAAACAAGATATAATAATAGCAAATTTTATGAAAAGATGATTAATATTTGTCCGTGTAAATTAGGAAAGCATGTGAATTAATCGAGATACATTGAGAGACGGAACCAGCGGTGGACCATGTACCACATGGTGGCGCCATTATAAATGATTGAGGTGCAATTACGTATCTAGATCATTATACTAGAAATAGAATAACCAGTGGTAGAAGACGGAAAATTATGCTCAACTCATCATCAATCGGAGTCTAAGTTTCGTCTTAACATCTCTCAAATAGATTTGAATTAAGGGAATCTAGGAACATAGTTCTAACTTATGGTAAAATAACAAATCTTCTTACACAAATCATTTTGTCGAGGAGGAGAAAGCTTTGAAGATGCAGATGTGAGTTAGAAGCTGTGAACACAGAGCATGCATCAGACAGCTGTACATGCAACAAGAGGCTTGGAGTGGCGGGAAAACTATTGGTCAAGACTTGCTCAGTTGGACAGAGAATATTCACGCAGAAGATTTGAACATTTTGGCGTACACCAATTATGTAAATGATAAATTTGAAGAATACATTTGTGCCGTTTCGCATATCTTGGAGAATATTTAGAGAATCCTAGGATTAAGGTTTGCGATATCCGTATATAAGGTCTAAGGGTCGTGATCAGGAGAGCTAACACTTAGAGTCTCATTTTTGAGAGATTGTAACTTGAAGCGTGACCAAAAAACAGAAGTTGTTAAAGCGAGTGTTCAGCCATTTAATTCACTAAAAGCGTGAGATTATTGGGTCGTATAGGTTATTGATTCGTGAATAGAAAACAATATAGGGACTAGATGTGTATAGATCCTTATAGGTAAACAACTGAAGTGTTCA